AACAACCCTAAGATTCCACCTCACACCAGTCAGAATAGCTAAGATCAAAAACTCAGGTGACAGCAGATGCTGGTGAGGATGTGGAGAAAGAGGAACACTCCTCTATTTTTGATAGGATTCAAGCTGATACAACCACTCTGGAAATCAGTCTGGTGATTCCTCAGAAAATTGGTCATAGCATTACCTAAGGACCCAGCTATACCACTCCTGGGCATATACCCAAAAGACGCTCCAACATACAACAAGGACACATGCTCTACTATGTTAACAGCAGTCTTATCTCTAATAGCCAGAAACTGGAAAGAACCCAGATGTTCTTCAGAGAGGAATGGATACAGAAAATGTGATACATTTACACAATGGAGTATTATTCAGTTATTAAAACAATGAATTTATGAAATTCTTAGGCAAATGGATGGAACTAGAACATCAACCTGAGTGATATAACTCTATCCCAAAAGAACACACATGTATGCACTCACTGATAATTAGATATTATCCCAAAAGCTCCAAATATCGAAGATACAACTCACAGACCACATGAAGCTCATGAAGAAGGAAGACCAAAATGTGGGTGCTTTGGTCTTTCTTAGAAGGAGTAACAAAATATTCATGGAAGCAAATATGGAGACAAAGTGTGGGACAGGAACTGAAGGAGGGCCCATCTGGAGCCTGCCCTACCTGGGTATCCATCCTATGTGTAGTCACCAAAGTCAAACTGTTGTGGATGCCAAGAAGTGCATGCTGACAGGAGCCTGATATAGCTGTCTCCTTAGAGGCTCTGCCAGAGCCTGACATATACAAAGGCTCACAGCTAACCATTGAACTGATCACAGGGTTTCCAATGGAGGAGTTAGAGAGAAGACTGAAGGGTTTGCAGCTCCATGGGGAGAGCAACAGTACCAACCAACCAGAGCTCCCAGGGTCTAATCCACCAGCCTGGGACTACACAGGGTGGGATGCAAGGCTCAAGCTGTATATGTAGGGGATGATGGTCTTGTAGGGCATAGGTTGGAGAGGAAGTCCTTGGTCCCATCTGGATGCCCTAGGGTTTGGGAATTTGAGGGCAGGGAGGTGGGTGGGGACACACTTCCTTAGAAGCAAAAGGAGGGGGAATGGTATAGGGGGTTTCTTGGGTGGAAATGGGGAAAGGGATAACATCTGAAATGTAAATAAAGAAAATATCCAATTAAAAAAAGTACCCAGTTGACACAGACCAAAACTTTTGTAAATAATTGAGGGTACACTGTGGAGTTTTAAGCTTAAAGGATAACAAAGTATTTGGGTTTTTTTTTAAAGTAATAGTAAAACCTAAATAATAATAAGGTGAATAAATAATTAATTGTACTTAATCTGGAGCTATATATAAATTTTGCTCTTTTAGTTTGCTTACCATGAAAGTTAAGCACTTATTTATGTATTGATTAAACAACCAGGAGAGGAAAATGCCATTCAATACCTCAAGAAATTCATTCAGCACTAGATTAAATATTTTATATATAAATATTTATAAACATTTGTGCTCTTTTTCTTCTTCTATGGTAAAACTTTCTACTGATATAAATAAGGTTATTGATTGTTTAAGGAGAGAACAGAGAATGAAAAATATTCCTTACCAACAGCATATAAAGAAATAGAGAAAATGTAGTCTTTTAATTCCTTGAGAAGTCATAATAGGAGCAGAGAGCCTGTCCAGATTTTCTCCATTGTTTTCATAGAGTATTTATGTCCCTGAAATCATGTAGTAAGGAAAAACTTATTCTTTATCTTTTTATGAATTACAAAAATAGGAAAATTTCAAGAACTAATTGGAGATTCTGTATGTCCTAGTTTCAATTATTCGTATAATAGAATTAAACTCTGTTTCAACATTTTTCCATGTAAGGACTTTTGATCAATCTATTCTGCAATGTTGCTGCTATGTGGGAAAACAAAAAGCTGTGTGCTGGGTGAGCTGCTCCCTGAAACGTAAGTACAGGTTATAGAGCCTGACTCTAGAACTGACCATTCCCTAGAACTAAAGTGTTGCAACAGATGCTGACCTGGCTGGACCTGAACAGTTAGAAGAAAGAGCCAGTACTGCCACCTCCTAGCCTAAGATACTGCTTGGATTAGAGCTCCTCAGAGCCCCGCTTCCTCTGGTTTCTGTGAGACTGGGTGCAGAGCTGCCTCCTGGGATCTGCCGAGTGCTCAGGCCCAGACCGGATGGAGCCTGCGCTAAGGGCCAGGAGTGAATTCCTGGGTCCCAGAGGGTCCCGGTTGCTCCCTGTTTGGGGCAAGTGTTGCTTTTTCCTTACCTGGGATGCTGCCTGAGTTAAAGCTCCTGGGAGTCCCTCTTTCTCTCGGTTTTCTGGTGTTGGGTGCTGAGCTGCCACCTGTGACCTACTCTATGCTTGGGCCCAGACTGGAAATCTGGGTTCCCTGAGGGACATGCCTGACTGCATAGGGGTTGATGTCAAAAGTATCCCCTCTCCAGGAAAAAGACATCGGGATGGGTATGGCCCTCATGCCTCACTGGACAACGACAGGGGGACTGGAGCCATTACAAGATCCCCTTCAAATACTGGAGGTCAGGCCTCTATCCCCGCCTTTGCAAGTTTAGAATTGCCACAGCCCTTCTATACTTAGAGAAGGGAGGAGATGTCAGGGGCAGCCCTGCTTACACACTGAAGGCCTAAAATCAGCCATAGGCCTAAAATCAGCAATAGGCCTGTCATACATGTATACTAACACCAAGTCTTGGGTCTCAGTGGAAAAACATTGAAACAGATGGCTATAAGCTAATGTAAACAGGCAGCTTTTGTGGAAATTTACAAGCCTGAGTAGTCATAGACCTTGTAAATAGGTAGCCTGGGCAGACAATACCAACTTAGAAAAGGACAAGATAGTCATAGGCAGAGTCATAGTGACTTGTCCCCTGAACCTTCACCCAGCCAATACCCAGTTCTGATGATATCTGTATTCCCCCTGAACACCCACGCTCCAGTGTCATCCCCATCCCCACATTCTGCCTTTCTGTGTTTATAACCCCTGTGTGAATGAATTATGATTTGAGAAAAAATAAATTAAAAAAAAGAAAAAAAAAAGAAGAAAGGGCCAGGCTACCAAGACATGCTAAGATATGTCTGCAAGAAAGTTTTCTTTTTCTATCTCTCTTTTAAAATGATCCTTCTGAGAAGATCCAAGCAATACATTACTGTATTCCAGCTTGCAAAATAATTGACAGAAATTTTATCTCACCTTTCATGTGTTCTCTTCACATTCCCTCTATTTTCCTTTCAATTATCAACAACTATAGTTCCTTGTTTAGAAAAACAGTGATTTAATTTAATAGCAACTTATACAAAGCTGTAGAACTGTTGCTCTGATAATTTTGCTCCTCTAAGTCTTAGCAGACATTTCAATAACTGTATAAAATGCTTGTCTAAAAGAACTGAGGAGAAACTATGTTTATTTTACTCTCTCACTTACGATTGTGATCCCTTGGGTGAGAGGAAGTAACTCCTACCCATTTCTTCTGTTCAATGGAATTTTCTTACCTCCTCTGAGGGTCCAGGCCCTCATACTGGGTACCAGATGTGAGAGGTCTCTACTAACACCCAGGCCAGAAGACTGATGATTTGTATGAGATAAGAATGCGGATTGGTTCAACACGACTGAGTAGTCGATGTTGGTTCAAACTTTGTCTGACCCCAGGTAGCTTATTTTATGCATGTGTAAGAACAGTTCAATTTGGAAAAAAGTTTCCTAGAGATAATATATCCCATGTGCACAACTAAGCCTAAGACATAATTACATCAAAATTCTTGCAATATTCAAGAGACATTTTCTATGAAGATAGGTTCTATACATTAACTAAGGAATCCTGGTCTCAGGAAAGACAGTGGTATAGATTGACTGAGATAGTTAGGCACAAGATAAGAACCTGGGAAAGCTGATGATAAAATTATCACAGTTTATCTTTTAAAATCATCCACATACTCCTAAAGGCCAGAACAGCAACTTTTATAAACTTGTGTCCATGAAGGCTTTATCTTTCGGGGTGACTTTAGCTATGACTCACAGCACTGGGGATATCAACCCTGAAGAGGCCATCTCCTATAGCCAGGCATGAATCCTACTGGAGTGATAGTGGCACCAACCTACCCACAAAACTTTCAACCCAAAATCAACAAGAAATGCAAGGTCAGATGATGGAGCAGAGATGTGAGGAACAGCCAACCAATGACAGGCCCAATTTGAAACCCATCCCATGGGCAAGCACCTATCCCTGGCACTATTAATGATACTATTGTTATGCTTGCAGACACAAGTCTAGCATGGTTGTCCTCTGTGAGACTCCACTAAGCAGTAACTCAGACAAATGTAGACACCTACAGCCAAACAGAGGATGGAGCTCAGGGACTCTTATGGAAGGATAGGAGGTAAGATTGCAGGCCTGAGGGGATATGAACTCCACAGGAAGACCCACAGAGTCAACTAACCTGGATCTTTGTGGCTCTCAGAGACTGAACCACCAACCAAAGAATTCACATAGTCTGGACTTAGGTCTCCCCACACATATGTAACAGATATGCAACTTGGTCTAAAAAATGTTTTAATTAATGATCGTAGCCTTTAAATTTTTAGTCTAAAATGTCATTGGTCAAATTTTTAAAAGCAGCAAACAGCTCAATATACAGAGGCTTTCCAGGATGTGTAGATTAAGTAACTGCCTACCTATATATGAGTGTTACCATAATTTTACAATAAGAGCTGGGATAGATATTAATTTGAGAGACATCCACACCAATACCCCCCGAAAGCCCCAATATTCCCAAAATAGAAGTTACAATCTACCAGCCTTTATTCAACACAGTTCTTCATTTAGTTTTTCTTAGTTACTGGTGCAAAAGGACCAGAATGGTCACCATCTGGACATCTGTGCATTAGTCACATGAAACAGATTTTCTGAGTTGCCACATAGCCGTCATATTTACCTCCCGA